AGACATGTTTAAAATGATGGAGGTCCGTCCCATGAGGGCTTTCCTACTCCTCGGGGCGTTCTCCTTCCACACGGTGTTTGACGGTCTGGCAGTGGGTCTTCAGCAGGACAGCTCCAACATCTGGCAGGTACACTCACACCAGTGGCAGTGGGTGGACCAACATTTGGGTGGGGCTAAAGTTGCTGCCACTTCTTTACCATCAATTAATAGCAACCATTAAGACCGAAACAGTAGACCCTACTACTTTCTCTATACTCACGGTGAGCCACGGTATTTTGAGAACCGTTTAAACGAGAAGTCCTCTTTGTCTTCCATTTCTTTATTTTTTTCAAGTTAAATTCTTCTGGATGAAAAAGTTGCCTTAAGACTCGCACAACGGTTAATACCCAGTGCCTAGACGCGCAGAGTATGCCCAGGCGTTGGGTGATAGGATCTGGTCGGGGACGTTTGCCAGACAGATTGGGGACGCAAAGTAGAGCTGGGCAATGAGTCGCTTCAGCAAAATCCGGATAATATTTTTGTGTACCTCTTCGGCTAATAATATATGAACCGCTTAGGCAAATGGGTTAGAACCACTTTGACAAACGGGTTATTATCACTTCAACAAATGGGTGCACCCACTTCGGCAAACGGGTCAGGAAAGAGAGTTTAAGAGTCTGAAATCGGATAATGTTTCATTGAGAATTATCCGGTTATCCTTTTGAATTATCCGGATTTTGCCCACCTCTAACGCAAAGTGGCTATCGTGGCACAAGCCGACGGGGTGCCTACTATGGATGGGATCGGCCGATCGCCGACTAGGTCGCCTAAAAAACAAACGTGTTTGTTTTCAGTTTCAGGCGATTGAGTCGGGCGATCGGCCCGATCCAGCCGTGGTGGGCACCCCGTTAAAATGAACGCGTTTGTTTTCAGGCGATGAGTGGGGTGATCGCCCCTGACCCGACCCGACCCGACCCGATCCCACCCGCAACGGGCACACCTGTATAAAAACGGACGGATAGCCCAGTACCCATTGGCATGATCGATTCGGTCCGGTTCGATTTGTAC